TTTTTTTTTTAGAAATGTTTTAGCAAAATTCAAGCTAGCCATCCTATTCTTGAGGCTTATAAGTGGCTTGCACCTTGCAGTGAACCCTCTGTATTTACTTTCACGCAGTCTTCTCTTCGTGGTAGATTTGGATATCAACTCCTGGAGAATGTTGACGTGTTTGGCTGTTGTGAAGGGGTTTCTCTTTAGCAAGGAAACGATTCTGTGATCATCCACCACTGTTGTCTTCCGTGGATGTCCAGGTCTTTTTGCATTGCTGAGTTCACCTTTCTTTCTCAGGATGTACCAGACTTTTGCCACTCCTAATATTGTAAAAATTTCTCAGATGGGTTGTTTCTGTTTTTGCAGATTCAGGGCGGCTTGTTTCACCTACATGGAGGGCTCCTTTAACCAAATGCAAGCACCACACCTCAAATCAACTCCAGGATTTTTATCTGCTCAACGGATAATGACATAGTGAAGGAACTGCCCACACCTCATAAACCCTTCATCCAATTTGAATGTGGACAGCAGAGTTTACACATTGTTTGTATATAAATGTATTTAGAATATGTTTCAGTAAACAGGTAAAACTGTAATAATGAGCTCACTGTATTCAAATGGCCTCCACAGTAACCAGGTCTCTCACAGATCTCTTCCATAGAGCACCTTTGAGATGTAGTCCAACAGCAGTTTCAAATCATGGATGTGAAGCTAACAAATCTGTCAAACTGTGTGGAGCTATCATGTCAACATGGTCCAAATTTTCTGAAGACTCTTTCGAACCCCTTGTTCAATCATTAACACAAAGAATTAGGGAAGTTCTCAAAGCAAAAAAGGCTCCAACAAAATGTGTCAAATGAGTGTAAAATATTCAAGCTTTATCGAAGACTTAAATGTAATTAGATTCTTAACAAAACAGCTGTAACATCTTATAGCCGACTCCATGTGCACAGTTTTGTGATGTCTCAGGAGTTTTAATCAGTGTAGATGCATAAATATTAATATCAGCTGCTTACAGGCAGACTTGAAATCACTAACATGAGCAAAATAGAAGCAGGCCCAGGACCGAACCCTGTGGAACGCCTGTTTTACTCTCATGAGATACTATTGGCAGCACACAGTGTTAGCAGTAGTGCTAATAGCAGAGGTGCAGTGTTGAGCTCACTGGGGTCATTGCGAAGCTGCTCCTCTGCCTTCTCTATGGTTACCAGCAGGGACTCGGCACAGTCGGCTCGCTTTCCGACGATGGTGAAACCATTCCACACGTACATCATCTCCTAAAAGAGACAACAATTGTGCGTTATACTTCACTACCAGCTCATTCAGAGTTCATCACACTCAACTAACCACTGTCAAAGTAGTGAGTTTATTATGTGCATGTGAATGTTTGTGTACCAGCAAAGGGATGACCAGGGGGATGGGGTTAGCAGCTTTGTAACGCCTGGACTTCCTCACTGCAAATTTCTCCGTTGGAATGGACTTCCCAGCCAGGCGCTGTTTCAGCCCCTCCACCTGCCTACACACACACACACACACACACACACACACACACACACACACACACACACACACACACACAAACAAACACACACACACACACACACACACACACACACACACACACAGTCTTACTGCTAATCCTGGCCTTAAACATAGCTCGTCTCTACCTACTTCACATAGGTCGATTCAGCTCAGGGTGTTTAAAAAATACATGTAAAAAACCGGCTGACCTGAAGAGCTCCACAACATTCTCCCCCGTCTTCTTCAGCTCCTCCTCTGACATCATGCTTAAAATGGCTGCCTTCTGGTAAACATAGATAGCCTGCAGAGAGCAGGTTTTATATTGAACTATCGCGGACTTTTATGGTTCCATTTCTGTGCCTGATATATGAAACACATCTGTTTTTCTTCTGAGCTTACCTTGGACCAGCGACTCTCCTTGCACAGCAAGTCAGCATATTGGTACGCCTGTTCCCACTCCTGCTGGTACGAGTGAGTCCACATGAGCTCCCAGTAACACAAGTGGTGAATCTGCTTCCACTCCTGCTGGCTGCTCACACATTCCTCGTACTTGGCCCGAGCCTAAAAGAAATACAGAACACTTAGACCTGCTGCTCAGGTTTGTAAAGGAAGTGCAGAGGGATGGGAAAAACCAGTGAAAAGGGAAAGACTTCTATTAACTTCATTTTAATTCCACATAAAGTAGAACAGAGAACAATTTTACTTCTTTGTTTAGCTGATAAATGTGCTGAAATCCTTGCGCTGAAACGTCTAGTTTTCATTTGGACTTTGGCACTGAGGGTCTGAAAACACAGGGACAAACCTTCTCAAAGTTTCCTCGCAGCGCGGCAATGCGAGCAGAGTAGAAGAGGATTATGGAGCCCTAAAAGAAAAAACAAACATGATGTTTATTTAGTTACGGCCGAGTTTACTTACACGACTGTTTGCGGTTTACTTACTTTGGGGTATTTCTGTTGGTATGGCTCCAGCAGAGCTTCAGCTTCCACCAGGTTCCCCTCTGCAGTTCCTGATCAAAGAGAACACAACAACATTCACTGCCTAATCTGCTAAGCAGCAGAAGATGCTTCTGGCTTTATTTAGGCCTTTGTGGTCGGACATTTGAAGCCAGATTAAGATGGTGAAGCTGAGGTTTCTCTACCAAGACTGAACCCCCCCCCCCCCCCCCCCCCCCAAAAAAAAAAAAATACCCATTAACAGTGTTTCCTACCCAGTATGAGTGAGACGTATGTGTGGTAGAAGAGCAGAGTCAGAACACAGAGGATTGACCGCAAACTGTGGCTGGAAGCTCCCTCTCTCAACTGGGACAAACCAAAGCCCTGCAGACAGATAGAGAAACAGTATGATTTTGTCTGTGTAGCCTATAGTGGGTTTTTAAAATGTTATTTTAAACAGAGCTTGTACTCACCCTGTTTCCTGAGAACCCGATAAACTCCAACAACCTCAAAATTCTCTGAGGGAGGAGAGACAACATCTGGAAGACAAAAAGATTTCCCTAAAATCAATCATTCAATAAAATCAACAAAAATGTGCTTTCAATGAACCATTATGTGCCAGATTCAATATAACCTGTGGATTGATGTAAAAAAGAAAGGACGTGGGGCCAGTGATGGTGCGTCCAACGACCAGTTCAGCTGTGAAACAAACTGGCTGAAATGGACTCTTGTTAATCTTAAGAGCTTAAAAGGAGGTGTTTAACCGAAAAGTGACGATTCTGACTCGATTAATGAAAAAATAAGTGTAAGGACACATGAAGTATATGAAGCCGTTCATAGGTTTATAGGACTCTCACTAATATTTTTCTTTTATCTGTACTTTCACATTAAAATGCCAACCAACGTGCTTCATCAGCTGCACTGTGTGGACGTTTTAGCTGCTTCCATCCATAATAAAGAAAATTTATAGATTTCTTGTAGATTATATTAAAGTAATAATATAGATAAATATACAATACAGAAAGCATTTACATTGGCCTTTTTTTTGGGTCCGTAAAAGTTTGACCCTCTGGCCTGATGATCCAGTGGAGAAAAAAAGATGGACACTGGATGTGCTTTATTCTGAGCGAGACGGCATCGTCCTAATTACGGCAGATTAAACCAGCATTAAACTTACCTACATTAACTGACTCCTGTGGATTAAAAAAAAACAACTCACCAGGTTGAAAGAGCCAATGCCCAGCTTTACTCCACCCTCGAACTGTCTAAATGAATCTGATTGGCCGGCCACGTCTTGAGTGGCATTGAGCACATTCTGACAGTCCCTATTGAATACATAACAATCATGTTAACAATGATATTTCTACTAAAATACATTTAAAATGTTTCATTTCCTCCATAAATCATTCACTCACTTGTAGATTTGGTAGCTGGTCCGAATCTTGATCCCTCCTTTGATAAAACTGATCATGTTCTCATCCTAGAAAAAGGAAATATAGATATAATATATAATTAAACAGCCTTATTATTAGTCTTACCAGAAGCTTCTCATGAGTCATGATTCTGGCTCAAATCCTAAATGGCTTCTAACCACACACACACTATAAAAGATGCAGTTTCCGAGTGTGTAAAGTGAAGCCAGTGCTCACTCATCATCACATCCATTTTCGATGGTGAAAACACTCAGCTCGAGGTTACAAAAGGCATCCCTCTGCCTTCTCTATGGTTACCAGCAGGGACTCGGCACAGTCGGCTCGCTTTCCGACGATGGTGAAACCATTCCACACGTACATCATCTCCTAAAAGAGACAACAATTGTGCGTTATACTTCACTACCAGCTCATTCAGAGTTCATCACACTCAACTAACCACTGTCAAAGTAGTGAGTTTATTATGTGCATGTGAATGTTTGTGTACCAGCAAAGGGATGACCAGGGGGATGGGGTTAGCAGCTTTGTAACGCCTGGACTTCCTCACTGCAAATTTCTCCGTTGGAATGGACTTCCCAGCCAGGCGCTGTTTCAGCCCCTCCACCTGCCT